CTGTAAACGTATTATCCTTGCTTCTTATTGCAATAATTAAATTAGAAAAGTGCTAATTGGAAGAGCCACACAGAACCGGACACATGAACTCTGAGACTGCTGTGATTTAACAAAGTAAGTCTGGAGCTCTGACTCCAGAGTGAAATACAGCACATAGAAGCATCAAGGCCCAAAACACAGGGGGCACTGACGGCTCACCAGCCGCACGGGAGACCCCCAGGAACTATTAGAATCGAAATACTCAGACCATGCCTATGCACAGGGAAAACCACATGGGGTCAGTGGGGTTAGCGGAGCAAAACCCACGTGAATGTCGGTGCTCCTGCTCACCTCTGTCTGGTAGACGTCGTACAAGTACCCCACCCCGCTGGAGTAAAACTGGCACCTTCCCGTGGTGAGGGGCCTCGGTTCCTAGAGAAACAGATAAACACAGATGGAATAAAACAGGTGCCTCCAGGCGGAAGAGGCCAGAGGCAATTTCAGGCCTGTAGGTCTCAGGCTCAGGGCCTCAAGGACCAAGGCCAACACCAACTCGAGCCTCCCAGACAAAACTCAAGACGGGAGACTCCACGCTCCCTGCAGAGCGGCTGGGCTGCTGCATCCAGGCGGCCAGACAGCAGAAAGTCCCATGGGAGGGTATCTCGGCTATGCAGGCTTGGCCGACACATATTCTCCATCAGTCAAGGGCAGCAGAAGGGAGACAGGTGCTTGGCCTTTTGAAAGGCATCCCAGCACCCCACACCACAGGTGTTAGGCTCCTGCACCGTTTCATAAAAAAATATTGTCTCTTCTACTAGGAAGGTAGCAGGAAGGATTTCAGACTAATAAACTCATCCCTCCAACCATCCAATCATCCACCCACCCACCCAACCATCCATCCAATCATCCAGTCAGTCATCTATGCACCTACCCATTCTTCCTTCCATCCTCCACATCTATCTATTCATTCATCCATCATGTACCCATCCTTCCATTCATCCACATCCATGCATCCACCCATCTGTCATCCATCCTTCCATCCTTCCATCTATCCATCCATCATCCATTATCCATCCTTCTATCCATCATCCATCCTTTTATCCATCCACATCCATCATCCATCCTTCCATTCATCTACATCTATCCAACCACTCATCTGTCATCCAT